GGTTAGGAACGATCCGAGTAATTGGGAGGAATTTGTGGGCAAAATTTGTAAGAGATTTGGTAATAGAGGGGATGTAGTGGAGGAATTTAATAAACTTCGTCGGGAGAAAGAAGTGGAAAGGTATGTAGAAAAGTTTGAAGAGCTTAAATCACCGATGAGTACTAGTAATCCTCACCTCACGAAGCTTACTTTGTGTCCAGGCTTCATTAGTGGACTCAAGGAGGACATCAAATCAATGCTTAAAATCTTAAAGCCTACCACCCTAATGCAAACCTTTGATCAAGCCAAATGGCAAGAAGAATCTGTGAATGCCATGGCTATAAAAACCAAGCTACCACCTAGAATCACTTACCCTTATAACACCGACCGAACTACCTCCACACCATACCTTTCTTACAATACAAACAGAGCTACACGCAAATCATGTCCATAAGCCTACTAGTGCCTTACCTAAACTCGGACCATACAATCACCATAGACCAACCGTACCCCTACCTCCAAAGACCCAATCGAAACCTTGTATGACCGGAGGAGGAGGATGGGACTCGTTTCGGATGTGGGGATAAGTACACTCCGGGGCATCAATGTGTTAAAAAGGCATTGAATACGATGGAAGGCTTAGAGGAGGAGGAGGAGGATTTTGTGAAGGAAGTAGAAGAACTTGGGGAGGAGAGGATCCCGAATGAAGGGCAATATGAAGAGATAGGGTTATCTTTGCACGCCTTAGCGAGGAGGTACGCAAACAACACCATCAAGATCAAAGGGTGTTGCAAGCAAAAGGAGATCATTATCTTAGTGGATAGTGGCGAGTACCCATAGTTTCATTAGTATGAAGGTGGTGCAAGCGGTGGATGCGGTGGTGGAAAAAACCACTACCCTTACAATGACGATAGCAAATGGGGCGAGCATGAGATGTTCAACCGGGAGCCCGAGCTTTATAGGGTTCATGCAAAGGCATGAGTTCGGAGCTGATTTGAGGGTACTCGAATTGGGGGCATGTGATATGGTGTTGGGGGTGGATTGGTTGAGGATGTACTCCCCGGTATTATTTGATTTCATTAATTTGAAGTCTGTCTTTTAAAAAGGGAGGAAGAGTGATTGAATTGAAAGGGGTAGCGAGAGGAGGTCGCATTACAACCGATTTCGATGGGCAAGGTGTATAAGTCTCTCAAATCTGCTATCTATGGAGTGGTGGGGCAATTATTCTCTATTACGGCTCGAGTGAACCGAAGGGGTAGAGAATAGAGAGATACAAGCTTTATTGATGAAATATGAAAAGGTCTTTTCCGAGCCAAAGTCACCGCCACCCATACGAAGGTTTGATCACGGAATTCCACTCCGCCAGCGAGTTAAGCCCATGAATATTAGGCTATATCGGAGTTCCTATGTGCATAAGGAAGAGATTGAGAAGCTAGTGAAGGAAATGCTACATAATGGGATCATACAACCAAGTCTGCTGACCCTTTTGCTTCACTCGTGCTATTAGTGAAGAAAAAGATGGTACTCGGAGATTTTGCATGGATTATCATCAATCGAATAGTATCCCAATCAAAAACAAATTTCCCATACCTCCGATTGATGATCTATTGGATGAGTCTGCGGGATTCTCATTTTTTCTCAAAAATAGACTTGCATTCGGGTTATCACCAAGTCGGAATGTGTGAAGAGGACATCACAAAGATAGCTTTCGGGACATATCAAGGGCATTACGAATTCAAAGTCATGCCTTTTAGGTTGACTAACGCCCCAACAACTTTCCGGGCGATGATGAATTCGATGCTTGGAGCCTTATTTGAGAAAGTTTGTTTTTGTGTTTTTTGATGATATCCTCATCTATAGCCCTACATTGGAGGCATATATACAGCACCTTGCTAAGGTATTGGAAGTTACGCTCAAGAATCAGTCGTATGCAAGGCGATCCAAGTGCACATTTTGTCAAGGTCGGGTGGAGTACTTAGGCCACATCATTTCAAGAGCTAGGGTAGCCATCGATCCTAAGAAGGCGAAGCCGTGAGCAAGCGGCCAACTCCTCAATCGATCCGGGAATTGAGAGGGTTTTTGGGTTTAGCTAGGTATTACGGGAAGTTTATCAAAAGTTATGGTGTAGTCGGCAAACTACTTAGCGATCTGCTACGGAAGAATAACTTCCATTGGAATAAGCAAGCTCGAGGAGCTTTTGAGGAGTTAAAAAGGAGATTGTGTGATGCACCCGTGTTAGCATTACCCAACCTTCATAAGCCTTTTGTATTGGAAACTAATGCGTGTGGCGGTCGAGTAGGAGCGGTGTTATCGCAAGAGGGCGAGGCCATTAGCTTTTTTTAGCAAGGCTTTGTGTCCAAAACATCAAGGGATGTCTATCTATGAGCGAGGAATATATGGCTATTCGATGGCAATAGATAAATGGAGGCATTATTTGGAGGCAAACAAATTCATCATCAAGACCGACCATGAAAGCCTTAAATACCTATTTGGAGGCAAACAAATTCATCATCAAGAACTGTTGAGATACCGAGAATTTTGTAGAAGAGTTTCTGTTTATTATATTACACACAAAGTTAGTATGTTCCTTTGAATAATTTCCTAACTTTGTTTGTAAAGAAAAATCTATCCTCACTCAAGTAAAGAAAAATCAACGAGCTATACTCCTTAAAGAAGTTGTTTTCACTTAACCATAAGATTTCTAGTTCTAGGCTAAAAAAAAAAAAAACTGTTCCTCCCAAAATTTCTCAAGATTTATTATCTGGCTAACCTGTTTTTCAGCATTGAATCTGATTGTTATATTAATAAGTTATTTAATTTTGTGGTCGAAAAGTGTGGACCCTAAATTATGCCCAGAGCTTGCATCATTCTTTTAATTTGTTGGTTCTTATGAATCTGTTTTACGAATTACCTGACCATAAATAATAAAGAGAATTAATTTTGAAAATGTACTCTTTTTTTCGCTAGCATCCCTATTCTTGAACATGATGTCTGCACCTAACTAGTTAAAAGATATTGTGTACCTAAAACCAGGGCTTTTGCAAACAAATACAACAAGCATAAGCAATGCTGAAAACAGATTCAGCTAGATAATGACCTGGACCAATGATAAAACTGACAAATATTTGTTTTTTTGTCAAACTGTATTTATATAAGGCTTGGAACCTATTTGGGCCTCTGTGTTTTCCAAGCAATTCTGTGTGTGCATAGCAGTTCAAAAGGGCACCATAACCATACAGCTTGAACTCAACATGTTAGAATTGAGCTTGACTCAAACTTATTACAAAGACTATCAATAATTGTATTTTATGTCACAACAACCGGCTCACAACCTGCCTTAGCCATTTTCTTGAGCAATCCAGCAGCCACAGTGATTTCTCCAATCTTACACAAACCTTTTACAATCGTGTTATAAGTATGTAGATTAGGTTGATATCCTCCTTCCAGCATCTCGTTAAAAAATTCCACAGCTTGAGAAATTTTACCCTCTTCACAAAGCCCATTAATTAAGGTAGAAAAATTACAAACATCATAAGAGAGTCGCTGTTGTTGTAGAATAATAAGGAGGGTTTAAGAATCATACCCATATTTTATATTTGGCTTCGTTCAAAATGAAACCCAAGAAAGGCTGAAGAAGCTGGAGATGAAGAAGAAGAAGTAGCGAGCAAAATGGTCAGCCGTTTCATTGCCATCAACTCTAAAGTTTCTCCTCTCTTTCAATGTCTCTTATCTCTCTTCAAGAATCTCGACAAATACTACAAGAAGCTCTCTGTGTGTCTTTTTTCTTTTTTTTTTTTTTTTTTTTGCTCTTTGCGGTCTGGCTGTCTGATTTTTGACAAAATTGAAGAGTTTTTTTTTTTCTTTCCATCTTTGGACGAGTAAGTTATAAAATAGTCCCTCTAGGTTTTCAAAAGAAATTAAATAGTCCTTCTAATTTCTATAACTGATTAATTATTTCCTATATTTTTAATTCTGTTTGTAACTTACTCCATTTCATTCTTTTTCAAATTTTTTTAATAAATAATAAACAAATAATATGGATAGATTTTTTTTTCTCACATAAAGCTAGAAAATTATAGACTTATAAAGAAAGCTTCCCAAAACAATTGCTACACTTATTTCTTGATGCGTCTGGTATCTCATTGATTTGTTGGCTTTCACTTTAGTCCTCATTTTCTATAATTTCATCTTTATTGCTTCTTCTTCATTAACTTTTAAAAAGGAATTATTTAGTATATTAGATACTGTACTTTCCTCTCTCAAATATACTGAGACAAATAAACAATTTTTATAATAATTTTTATAATTTCTTATAAGAAAACGAAGTATAATTTCTCGTATATTTAGTAATTTCTTAATTTTACATAATGCAACTTTTCTGTCGGCATTTGATGGATGTACTCAATATAATTTCTCATATATACCAAAGAAATATTGTGCCCGTAAAAGTGAGATTGTTATAATAAATATTTCTAACTTATAAAAAAAAAATTAAATTTTGTGGCTTTTATTAATTTATTATACGATAAAAAAATAAAAATACAAAAGAAAAAGAACCAATAAAAAGGGGTATTATGGTCTCCTCAATAGAATTCTAAAGATACGTATCTGCCAGCTAGGAATCAGATACTATAATGCTATATACCAGTTCCATCTTCCTTTCTCAATTATAAAACTGTAGCCCAACAAGTCCAAGCCCACCCAAGCCCAACAGCCCTCACTTCTTAAATAAGCAGCCCACACAACTTCCACTTGGCCCAACAAGTCCAAGCCCGACATCTCCTACTCCACCTGATACCAATATCACACAAACAAATACCTCTTCTCCTCTGACATTCGAAATAGATCTAACCAGTCATCAAATCCCACCCACGCATCTCTCCTTTTCTTCTTCATCTCTCCCGCATCCAGCCTCCACAAATGTCAGCACACCACACCTCAAATCCTACTCCAAAGCCATGGCAAAAGCACGTGGCAGAATCTGATCCACAAACCCACCTGCCCGACCTCCATCCGATGCTATGTCACCCTACCCGAAGCCTGCCCAACTCTCACGCCCTCCATCCACAACCCCTGCCACTGCCGCTGCTCTTTCTACCCTGGAGCTTGCAAGATCCGACCCACCACCAGCTGCAGCTCCTAAGCATCCCATGGTCACCCGTGCTAAAACAGGTCACCTAAAGCCTCGCACATTCTCCACCGTGGTTCCTCCAGCTGCTCCATCTTCATATTCACAAGCTAGCTCAGATCCATAGTGGCGTAATGCCATGGCAAGTGAACTACAGGCATTGCTTGCCCATGATACATGGGAGCTTGTCCCCTGTCAACCCAAATATAACGTCATTGACAATAAATGGGTTTACAAAGTGAAGACAAACTCAGATGGGTCTATTGATCAATACAAAGCAAGATTGATCGCAAAAGGGTTCAATCAGCGTCCTGGTGTTGATTTCACTGATACTTACAGTCCTGTTACCAAGCATGTTGCTTTGCGTCTGATCCTCTCCATAGCAGTGTCTTTGAGTTGGATGGTTGAGCAATTAGATATATCGAATGCTTTCCTTCATGGTCCACTAGATGAAGTGGTTTACATGTCCCAGCCGAAAGGCTTTGTTGATCATCAGAGACCAACGCATGTTTGCAGGCTCAAGAAGTCCCTCTGGCGCTTAAAACAGGCACTCGTCAATCGTTTAAGTGCCTCACAGACTCCCAAACTGATGTATCTCTCTTTTTTAGACCATCTGGGAAGGACATCACTTTTTGTCTAATTTATTTTGATGATTTGGTTATTAATGACAGCAATGAAACTTCGGCATCTTCCCTGATTGATGCTCTGCATTCAAGTTTCCCAGTGAAACATATTGGAAAGCTTTGATACATTTTGGGGATAGAGGCTGAATGGGGAGCCACTGGCTTGTTTCTTCATCAAAACAAGTATGCCAATGAATTACTGCTGAGAGCTAATATGCATCAGGCCAATGGTCTTAGCACCCCTGCTTGTCCTACCACTAAGTTACAAACAGTAGGTGGTGCCATGTTTTTAGACCCAACTCTCTATCGCAGTCTAGTGGGTGACTTGTAATATCTTGGCATCACTTGCCCAGACATCGCTTAATTTGTCAACAAAATAGCACAGTGCATGCACTCACCCTCAGAAGCTCACTGGATTGCCTTGAAGAGAATCCTCACAAAGGCACATGGTTTATTGCTTCAAAGATCCTCTGATTTTTTTATTAATGCCTATACAGATTCTGATTGGGGTGAGGACATTGACGATCGCAAAAGCACATCCGACTATGCCATTTATCTTAGTCAGAATTTGATTTCATGGTGGTCTAGGAAACAATGCATCGTTGCTCGATCGTCCACTGAAGCAGAATCTCGTGCTCTAGCTACAGCTTGCTTTGAGGTTGAATGGATTGAATCTCTTCTGAAGGAGATTGGTATATCTACTATCCGACCACCAAAGATTTGGTGTGATAATGTGTCGGCTACATACCTCACCACAATACCCATTTTTCATTTGAGGTCCAAGCACTTGGAAATTGATTTCCATTTTGTGCATGATAAAGTTCATAATGGTCAACTACAGGTCTACTATTTGCCTACCAATGATCAAATTGCAAACATTCTTACAAAACTGCTATTCAGAGCCTCGTTCCATAAGCTACATTCCACATTGCGCGTCCATTCTGATCCTGCGCAACTTGCTATTGTGTTATTAACCGAATAGAACAGGATCGCAGCTAATAAAATTGAAAAATAAAGATGAAGTTGAACACATAGATTTTTTTTGTGGAAACCTTTCAACAAATTAAGGGAAAAAACCACGAATAAGATAGAAGAATTTCACTATGAAAAATAATAGGAGTTACACCCTCTCTCTATATTATACGGAGAAAATAATAAATTTCTCTCTTGAAATAGAAAAAACACTTTGTATATTTTTCTCTCTTCTTTGAGATGGATGGTGGGATATCAAACTAAGGTGGAGAGGCCTATTTATAGACCTCTCCCTTGTTTGCACCGCCTCAATTTAGGCGGTGCAAGGCTGGTCACAACTTGCATTTTGCAAGTCGTGATCTAGCTTGCATGCAAGCTGGGATTTCATGGACAAATTGTCCACGGAAAGCCTTGCATTCAAGTTGCATGCAAGTTGTGATTTCCGTGGATAAATTATCCACGGAAATCCCCTTTTTTTATTGCTTTTCAACAATCTCCCACTTGAAGATTTGATTGAGAGTCAATCGGATCTTCACACTATTCTTTCTATCTTGTCTTCCCATGTTGCTTATGTCTTCATCAAGCCGCAGGAGGATCGACACCAAATAAACTTATCGGCTTTGATTGCCTTTGTCATAAAATCGCCGAGTTGTCTTTGGTATGAATTTTCCGCATATCCATAGTTCCTTCTTCCACTTTCTCACGAATGAAGTAATACTGTACTCGTATATGCTTTGTCTTTGAATGAAAGGTCGGATTCCTTGCAAGATGCAAGGCACTCGACTGTCGCAAAACAGAGAAATCTTTTCTTGTTTGTGCCCGAGTTCCTCCAATACCATTTTCAACTAGATCGCCTCTTTACTCGGCTTGTGTAGCTGCTACATATTCTCGCTTTTGTTGTTGACGTAGCCGCAATCGACTGCAGTTTAGAAACCCAACTTACGACTCCACCAGTAAGTGTAAACACATAACCCGTAGTTGATTTGCTTTTATCCATATCACCCGTATAATCGAAATCAACATAACCGCCGACGATAAATTCCGATCCTCCATAACATAATACAACATCTAAGGTTCCCCGAATGTATCTCGGGATCCTCTTTATCGCATTCCAATGCTCTCTACCGAGGATTCGCCATGTACCGACTAACCACTCCCATCGCATGCGCAATGTCCGGCCTTGTACAAATCATAGCGAACATTAAACTTCCCACTCGCTGATGCATATGGTACTCGAGACATCTCCATCCTCTCTTCTTCATCTGCTAGGACTCATATTGGAGGATAACTTGAAATTAATAAGAAGTGGGGTAGAAATTGGCTTACAATCTTGCATGTTGAAACGCCGCAAGACCTTCTTCGGATAAGTATTTTGAGAAAGCCAAATCTTCCTATTATTTCTGTCTCGGTGAATTTGCATCCCTAGAATCTTGTTTACTGGTCCTAATTCCTTCATTTCAAATTCCCTAGCCAATCGTGCCTTCAATTCTTTGACATGATCTTTGTTAGGGCTCGCTACCAACATGTCGTCGACATACAACAACAAGATAATAAAATTACTTTCACCAAACCTCTTGAAATATGCACAAGGGTCTACATTAAGTCCGTTGTATCCAAGGCTCATGATGAATGAATCAAATCTCTTGTACCAACACCTCGGCGCCTGTTTTAGACCATACAAAGATTTGGTCAACTTGCAAACCAAGTTCTCTTTTCCTATTTCTTCAAAACCTTCGGCTAGAGCATATAAATCTCTTCTTCAAGATCTCCATGAAGAAAAGCCGTTTTCACATCTAACTACTCTAGATGTAAATCAAACATAGCACACATTGTCGGGACTACTCGGATCGTTGTCGGTCGAACCACATGAGAAAATATCTCATTAAAGTCAATCTCTTCTTTACGAGTATAACCTTTCGCCACCAACCTTGCACGATATCGCTCCACTCGATCATCGGTATTTTGTTTGATCTTGTAAACCCATTTATTACCAATGGGCTTTCTTCCTTGTGGTAATGTCACAAGTTCCCAAGTCTTGTTCTTGTGAAGAGCTTCAATTTCTTCCCGCATTGTCGCCATCCACGAGAGATGCATATGAGTTGTTCATTGCTTCTTAGAGAGTTGATGGCTCTCCTTCCTCCATTAAAAGACAAGTATGCAACATTGCTCTCCATAATATAGTCCGAATGCCAATCGGGTCACCTTCTTATGCGATCGATCCGTTGGGGTTACGAAACTTCGGACTCAACCGGTTCCTCTCCCTCATGCTCCGGTGTCGCTTCGAAGGATCCTTTTGTTCGGGATCTTTTTCCACTCGTACCTTTGTAATTTCGAAGTCGTCGTTACCTTGTTCTTTCCTTTGTAGATCCGTTTCTACAAAGATAACCTCCTCGTCGACAATAACCTTGTGGGTAGTGGGATCCCACAAGCGATACCCTTGACTCCATCGGCATACCCCAAGAATAAGCATTTCCTGGATTTTGGATCTAGCTTTGTGATTTCTTGAGCATTGTACATCACATGCACAAGACTTCCAAATATATGAAAATTTGAATAATCAAGCGGCTTACCAGTCCACATCTCCATCGGTGTCTTCAACTCAATTGCGGTTGATGGGGATCGATTCACAATATAACGAGGCGGTGCGACCGCTTCGCCTGAACGCCTTTCCTAAGCTTGCAGTCCTCGGCGATAGCTCTTGTTCTTTCTAACAAGGTTCTATTCATCCGCTCTGCCACTCCATTTTGTTGAGGAGTGTATGCAACCGTGAACTGTCTTTTGATACCTTCTTGTTTGCAAAATGTATCAAATTCATTACCGAGTGTATTCTCCTCCATTATCCGTCGTCAAACACTTGATCTTCTTTCCGGACTCAAGTTCAACCCGCGCTTTGTAAACTTTGAAGGCTGAAAACACATCTCCCTTCCTCTTGATAGGATACACCCGACATCTCCTAGAATAATCATCAATGAAGGACACAAAGTACTTTGCTCCTCCTAGGGATGGAGCCAAGTGCTTGCCACACATCGAGTGAACCAATTCTAGAATAGTCTTGCTTTTAGAATTTGATGTGCTAAACTTCAATCGATGCCGCTTGCGATAACACAATGCTCATAAAAGGGTAAAGATACTTTTGTGAGTCCCGAAAGTAGCTTTTGCTCGGCAAGGATTTTCGTTCCTTGTTCGGACATATGCCCAAGTTTCGATGCCACATTATTGCGGATCTTTCACTCGAACTCGTTTAAAGCAATCGATGCTTCGCTTCTTGTAAAGTCTCTCCCTTCGGTATGTATAATTTTGCAGCCTATCTTTTCTCCCTTCATAAGTACAATCGCTCCTTTGATTATCTTCGAGATCCCCTTCTCGGTATCGATCTTGTATCCAAGATCATCCGAGTTGTCCTATAGACAACAAGTTCTTCTTCGAGCCCTCCACATGCCGCACTTGTTGAATAGTACGAATTGTACCATCATACATCTTCGACTTGATGGTTCCAATGCCAATGATCTTTAGAGCATGATCATTGCAATCT